TTGGTTGAAAGTTGGCACAAGTTACTAAATTCTTCCCCAAAATAGAAAGCACAAACGAAGAGTGGGGAGGAGTCTCACTTTATGATCTTGCTCTCAAATTGCTTAGCACTCCTCCACTTGCGAATACACTTGAGACAGTAGGTGTGGTTGCAGTTGGAGAGGATCCCAAAACGGCGCTCGCTGGGGTTGGCTTTCTCATACACCACCTCCATGCAGATCCCACACACCATGTCCTTGCTGCGCTGCACAGCAAATGAGAGCTCCATGTCCTTCTCATGGGCCTCAATGCACGACTAGAGAGACGGGAGAGAGAAGACCGTCATGTCACCAGGTCCTAACAAACACAACTCCACGATTTATGACTCATGTTCAGAGAATCAAATAGTCAATTGAAAACATGTTCCCAAAGTGACATTCAACTCAGCTGTGTTTACAAACTATGAGGACTCAACTTCAGGAATTGAAAAATCACTCAACTTTCTGTGCCCTAAAGCTGCCGTCCACACTAAAGATGGTTTTTCATACTGTTGATTTCCTAGATGGAGTATGTAATTAGGATTAAGGCTTTAATAAGAAACCTGTTGGAAGCCGGGCTGGGTGGCTCAGCCTGTAATCCCGCACCTTTGGGAGGCTGAGGTGAGTGGATTGCCTGAGCCCGCAGGTTCGAGACCCGCCTGGGCAGCGAGACCTCATCTCTACAATAAATCAAAAAATCAGCCGGGCGTGGTAGCGCGTGCCTGTAATTCTGGCTACTCGGAAGGCTGAGGGGAAGGATCGCCGGAGCCCAGCGGGTCAAGGTTGCGGTGGCCGGGAGCGGCCACTGCACTCCAGTCTGGGTAACAGAGTGAGACTCCAACTCAAAAAATAATAATAATAATAATAAATAAAAATACATTTGAAGAAATGAAGCAGAGATCTGTGCATTCATTCAGTCAGTTTATTGAATTTACCATGTGCTCAACACTGTCCTATGCAGTAACATGAAAAAAAATTACAAAACAAGACCTCAACAAGGGAAAAATATACTCTGTACTGTATTAATTTCCAATCATTTCCATGGTGCTTTTAAAGCATTCTTAGGTCGTTTGGGGGTATGTGGTCTCCCTTTTTCTCCATGTCCCCCTAAAGCTCTGGCACTGTTGAAGTATGCCCCTCTTGTGACCATCCTAGTGGGGCAGCGGGGGACCGGCCAGGGCTGGGGGCCCACAGTGGAGGAGACATGCTGAGAGGAAAACCATCCATCCTGAGGGCTCAGGATACTCACAGTGATTCACCAGAAGGCCAAACTTGGGGAGCCACAGAGGCCTATGGGCCCCTCACTCACCCCCTTCCCCAGGGGATGTGCTTAAAGTGCTAACACTGGAAAAAAACGATGCACAGCTACATGCTATCCTGGGTGCTACCAGACTTGTTACCTCCCTGACTTGTGCTAATACCAGGCACTGGCACCACCAGGGGTCAGGCCAATAGAAAAGTCTAGTGCCCAGTGGAGAAGTGGAAAAGGTCCAACATATAACCTAGGATGCCCAGAGGAGGTGGGGCCAGAAGGGGCAGAGAGGTATGCAGCAAAAGGGACTGGTTTGTGCTTGGCCAGTGCCCCTGAGCTAAGGGTTGGTTTCTGTGCAAAGGGCAGTTTGGTTCTATACAGCTAGCAAGGTCCTAAATTTCTCCTGAGGGAACAAAGCTACACAGCATAGGAAGGAAATCCATGCAGGGCCCTCCCCATCTCCCAAGCGGGCATGCCCCCGTGCCTACTGTGGAGGGTGCTAAGGTGCACTAGTGTGGGGCATATAGCAGGACATGCCACACTTGGACGCTGGATGACACCTGGACACACCTGGCCCAAGAGTTCCACCTGCAAGAGCCCGGTCATCACATGCAGGCTCCTAACCTGAGTTAGCAAGAGGGGCTGAGATTTACCTGGCAGCCCAGCCAAGGATACCTGTGCCCCTGCGAGTCAGATCCCAGTGAAACACATCATGTGATATGATCCAGAGGGCACCCCAGCCAGGTGGGCAAGCAAAAGAGGGAGTGGCACAGACTCTTCATGTGGGCAACGCAGCTGGGCAGAGGATGCCTTGGAGAAGACGCGGGAGGGTGTCCGGGGGCCAAGAGGGTACCCCGTTTCACCATCAGATCAGAGCCAGATCTCATCACTGCTCACACTGGACACTCGGTAGATGTAGCCCAGCATTGGGAGGCGGATGAAGCCTGTGGGTCAAAGAGGCCCGGGGGACTCAGTAACCCTCATTCCTTGGAAGTTGGCAGAGCCCACTCCACCCCCAGGGCACTCAGAGGCCTTGGGCACCAGCCTCCTCCCAGGGCTGGGGAGGAGGGGAGCAGGCCCCTTTGCCCATACCTCGGCTGGTGAGAAGGCCGCCGGGCTCTGGGTCCAGCAGGTCTGGCCGGCTGTTGTTCCGAGCCATCTGCCGGTCTGCTGGCTTCCCTGCTGGGTGACAAAGGGAACAATATCCAGGGCAAGGAGCGTGCCTGATGGGGCCTAGCCCCTCCCAAGCACCAAGGTCTCTGCAGAAGTATATCTGAAGATAAAGCGATGGCAAAGCGTGGGTCCTGGATGTACCTCTGGAATCCGGAGTGAGGTCGTTGAGCTGGAGGTTGGATGGGAGGGACATGTTCTCCCGGGGCAGGCGCACGTTGTTGAGTTTCAGGTTGTTGGAGTCACTGCAAGTGGACAAAGCTTGGGGTATACCTGGCACCAGCAGGCACAGGTTCCTGGACTGGGTCTCTCAGACCTGCCAGAAAACCCCAGTTCCCATGAGTCCCCATCCTACTTTGGGTGCAGCCTGTCTACCCAGCCCCAGAGGAGTTACCTGGAGATCAGAGAGGGGCGCCGGGAGGGGCCTGAGAAGAAAGAAACCACGTCACCGACTCTCAATGTGCCCACCCATGCTGGGGCCTGCCCCCCTGCCCTTCCAGACTTAGGACCCTCCAGCAAGGGGTGTCCTGAATGTCCAGAGACTAGGATCCCAGTGCCTGACCCCAGGACCCGGGGTGCATGTCGTCCTATCATGGCCACACCCAGAAGTGCTGTGCCACTTGGCAGAGATGACCTGTTCTTCCCAGGTTCACTTTCTGCTCACTCCAGCCTCCTCGCCACTCCCCTGCCACCCTCTACCTCCTGTTGCGCCGGCCCTACCTTTGGTCTTCTTCTCTTTCCTGCAGACCAGGCAGGCCACTAAGGTGCTGAACCCCACAAGGGTGCCCAGGGCAAGCCCTCCAGCCACAACGATGCCCAGCAGCGGCACTTCCACCCGGGTGGCCAGCAGCCCTGCAGGTTGTCCCCTGGTTAGGTTCCAGGTGGTCAGTGGCCCCACCCCAAAACGCCACAGGCATCACTCTGTCCTCCTTGCCCAAGGTGGCTGGGCACAGCTCATCCACAAGACCCATCCAAAGGGCAACACCTCCTCCCACTTCTGTACTGTAATCCCTGTGCCCACGTGCACTTTTGCTGGGTCTGCTCACCTGGGGCTGGAAGCGAGGCACTGGTGACACCCACGTCATTGGTGGCCACCACCGAGAGGTTGTGTGCCAGGCTGCGGAGCTGCAGCTGCACGGTGTGGTTGGTGAGCCAGGGGTAGTTCTGGGCATCCAGCACCAAGAAGTCAGAGGTGTTGACAGTCACCGGCCCATCCTGGTCGATCCAGGTGACATTGGCAGGCGGGTTGGCACGCACCAGGGCAAACAGGACAACCAGGAGGCCTGGGCCCTGAGCTTCTTGGTACTTGGCCCCAACTTGGGCAATCTCTGGCTTAACTGGTGCAAAGCAGAGGCCAATATGCTCTCATCACAGTCCCTCATAGTGCTGGCCCTTTCTTCCCAAACCCAGATGGGACAGGGACCCAGGCCTCTCCTCAGAGGGGACACGGACAAACAGGATGGCTGGGTCAGCCAGAGGCAGCATTCCATAGTGACTAAGGGTATAAATGTTCGAGCCAAGATGTCTGGATTTGAATCCTGGCTCTGCTTCTTGCCAGCTGTGTGACCTTGGGGAAGGTTGCTTAACCCGTTTGTGCCTCCGTTTTCTCATTTGTAAAACAGGGCTAACAATAGTAATGACCTCACAGGATTAGAGTGAGGATAAAGTGAATTAAAATTTGCAAAGTGCTTGTGTTTGTTAAATGTCCCACCGACCACCTGCCTGATGGCTGTTGGAGGTCCCAGGCAGAGAACCCCCCTGCCTGCCCACCTTAGGGGCACTCACATTGCACATTGAGGATGACAGAAGCATTGGCTGACCGGCCACTGCCCGGGTCCTGCAGGGAGCAGTTGAGCTCATGCTGGGCCCGCTGGGCAGTGACAGTGAAGGTGCTGGTGCCTCCAGAGAAGGCCTCCCCGCCCACGCTCAGCAGTCTTGAGGTGCTGGCTTCCTGCAGCTGTCCATCCAGGTACCAGGCTAATCGGGGGGTGCCAGGCCCCCCTGCCACCCGACAGGTGAAGGCGTGGCGCTCATTCTCCCGAAGTGCCCTCTCAGCCCAGGTCTGCCCATCTATTTGTGGTGCCAACTCCCCCCAACCTGGAAGACAGCAAGGGACCTCTGGAAAGGGCTAGGGCAGGGTTGGTATTATTCTGTGACCAGGATGAGGTCCAGTTACAGAGGGGCAGCAGGCCTAGAGACAGGGCACCAGGGTGCTCTCACCAGGGACAGCGCGGACCCAGGGCCGACAGGTAAGGGGAAGTGGCTGGGGAGCCTGGCGCCTGGACTGGGTCCCCAGACGGAAGGTGCAGGCAAGGAGAGGACAGAGGAGGTGCTGGACCCCAGAAGTGCTTGGTCAACGCATGGACAGAAGTACCTGAACTCAGAAGGGCTGGCAGGAGCAGCAGTGTGTGCAGGAGGGCAGCTGGGCCTGGAGGCAGCACCATGGTGGCCCGGGTCTGGGCCCCAGGCTGCTAAGAGAAGGGGCCGGACCTCGGTGTCAGCTAGGAGAGAGCAGGCAGGCCTAGCAATTCCTCCAGGAATTTTCTCTCCGGAAACAAAAAGAACCATGCGCGGAAACACAAATGGAGACTGGCCACAGCGGCAGAGGCACAGACACGAACAGCAAAGCCCAAAGGCACAGATCCTGGACACGTTCCTGGACACCCTGGACACCCTGCGGACGCAGCCCCGACTGCTGACCCCAGGGGACAAACAGGCACACACCCCCGCAGACACAGAGTAGCAACTAACGACCGTCCGCACCATGCCCAGGCGCCCAGGCCCAGACACACACACACACACACACACACA